GCATATCGATTGAGCTGTAATAACGGCGAATGAGTGGTCCGCGACAGCCGCGTGCGGCGAATCGATTACCCAAAATCGTTCCTAACGCCCGTCTCCCTTTATCGGTGCATAATTGTGAAGACTCTTTGCCCGACAGTTTCATCCGAATCGTCTTGCAAGCCATCAACACGTTCCCTATGTTTCGATTACTGACGCATTCCATCATTTCTTGGGGGAAGGGGAAGGGGTGATAAAAGCTCTACACGAACGTCGGCGGGCACCCGGAAATCTTTGCAATTCGCAGTGCATTCTGAATGAATGGGTTCGTCTATGTAAATCTACACAATAATTTTTTACAATCTTCGCACAGTCTGTGTGTACGATCGAAAAGATCTTCAGAGGAGGAAACTACGCATTGTAGAGGAGGCAGTAAGGTTGTCTTGAAAAAGGATAGTCCGCAGCCAAAGGTTCTGAGGAACTGATCGGAAGTCGTACCCCTGGGACACTGTACGGAGAGAAGATCGAAACGATCGCATAAATGGAGTGAACCCAAACACCTTTGCCCTTACACCGAACAAGCATTCACTGGCTTTTTTCCTTCGCTCTCTCCTCAAAGTTCCAGTCCCTCTTTATTTTACCAGAGTACCATACTCGAGAAAGAGGGTGAATCTTATTTTTTCAAGTCCTATGTCACCTAATCAAAAAATGGGGTACTGAATCCAGGGATTCTGGATCCTGTATCCAAAGTAGGAAATTGTGATGCAAATGTGATACGACAATATATCAGGATTCTAGTAATGAGTTAGATAAATGTGAGAGCTTCGAGATCATCAAACTTCTTTCGTGCTGAACTCCAATTCCCAGGTAGAGTTGTTTTTGACGCTCTCTTGAACTATTTTTCATCCAAGAGCTAACCACTCCCACTTGCAATATTTACCAACAACAACGTCCCCTCCCAGATTTATCTTACCATGTGTGTCGCGGTCCAGGTTCAATAGATCCAGGAGTCTCATAGTTGTGTATTTGAATAGAAACCTTGCCCAAAAAGTAAACGGATTGATTCAATAATCGACGGTTTGGAACCGTCACGTCAGCAGTTACTAGATAGTCAACATCAGACACTGCTTTTGTTTGGGCGAGGCTCAAAGTAATCATTCCATCTATACGTATGAGAAGGCTCGATATCACTGGTGTCAGCTGCTGTTGCAGGGCCACAAAGGAATCGGTTCGTTTTAAAGACGTTTCATGGCTGCTTAACTCTGGAAAAAAGAAGCCAATAGTGCCCTTTCCTTCGAACGACCATTTTCTTACGTGTGTGTGCTGATTTTACGGCCTGTTGTAAACTAAAAAGTAATGGGCTATCAAGTGTGGTCATAGGGATTCAGCAGAATCACCTAACTGCCCCGAAGTGTCTGGCAGTAAAAGTGTTTGACAAGAAAAGGCTCGTAGACCCTCACACTCGTCTGTGGACACAAAAAACATGTGGGCGAAGTCCTTTGCATGAGAGTTGGTAATTGCCTATCTCCTCTTTTCAGTCAATTGCTCATTGAAGGGGAGGCTTAAATCACCAGGTGAGTGCAGGGTCTTTAACCATGCACTTATCTTGCCCAATGCATTTGATTTCGCTTTCGTAGAGTCATCTTACCTTTCGACTGGCCATGGGATTTCTGTCTTCAAGCACGGTCCAGCGCGGATCCGTACCCTTATAAATTTGATCGATTATTAATCCAGTTATAGGAAAATCACTGGAAAAAGGTAGAGTGCTAATGTAGAAAACAGGCTAGTCTGAGGAACAAGTGGGTACCGTTGACAAAGTCTTGAGATGCCACACCATCATTTTTTTATTCAGAATTGGAAGGTGTGAATCTATCGTGACTACAGTTCCCAAATGGGAGAACCCTGACGAGAATTAGCATAATCACACTCAATTCCTTCGGTATGTCCACGGTTTCATTGCAGAATGGATCATTTTCTATTTTGGGCGCTGGCATAAAGCACTCAGTTGTGTGCCCAGCCCATCCCTCATAATGGTCTATGCGGATGCTGGTCGATTTATGAATCGTCCGATGGCTGCTCTATCGCTTCCGCTTATCCTATTGATCCCACATATGATAACTAAAAATGGCATCCACTCTCGTGAATTTCATGAGCCGACACCACACCCATTTGAAAACGACATCAGGTCCTTCTTTGGAAAATCCAGTCTTTGTCAAGCTCCTCCTTCTTCCCTCCCACTTGTTTTACTAATGTCGCGAAAACTTCTGACTATACCAATGCATGGCCGGGAAGTATCGGATGCTTTGTTGGCAACTGGCCATAATTTTGTTTACTTTTCCTTGACCTTCTGAGGATCCCTAGCATTCGTTTAAACTCATGGCATCGCGACTGCAAAATGGGGTCATTTGTTCACCTAATACGTCTTCTTTGCATTTTCGGAAAAGGAGGCTTTATTGGTTTGTTTTAGTTTATATTCTGGTACTAGATCTATCAGAGAAGCTGAATCGGGATTGAAAGGTCCAATGGGATTTGTTCTATTGAACGGAGCTGGATTTAGGGGGTGCCAATCCGTCTCCTTGGCTGAAGTATGTCTGAGAATCTCGAATGTGCTTGTAAAGTCATAGCCAACAAATAACTTGTCTGGCCAGAGCTCCGAAGTCCGGTAATCTCGTAGGTAAAGCACCGCATATAGTGATGCTAGGGGATTATAAGAAACCCTGCGGGCATGTGAGGTTATGAAAAAGGACAAATCCGACTGGATCAGTTTCTCGTTTCTCTTTGTTCTTATTACTTACAATGAAATGAGCTCTGTTTCCCCATTCTCTTGGGTTCCAGTTGAGTTCGTTCTATTCGGGTGAGTTTGAAGCAGTTGCTAGCCCCTATTCGTATATCCTATTTTACGTTTTGGATCAAACTGTATGACCTTGCTGAGACCTCATTCTCTTTCGAAAATGGCTTAACCTCTCCCTTTCAAGAAGGTGTATGTTCAATTCGAAGCTCGCTTGCTCTTTTTAGTCATGGTCAAATGACAATGTGGCTCTTTCCAATCTCGTTCCCACTTAAGGATGAGTTTCTTGTTCNTCCCTATTTCGTTTTCATTTGCTAGGCAGTTTGAGCGGCCCGAAATAAATAAGTGGGTGAACAAATGAATAAATAAACAAATAAACAAATTCGCAAATTTCGTGAATAATGGGATAAGATTCGAGAAATGTAAAGGTGAAAAGGCGGAGGTGGTGTAATGGCAAAAGGCGCACTATCACGCGCATTGAATCCTAAATGGACATGCGGCAAACCAGGCATCAGGCAAACCTATTTTTACATCCCTCCGGAATCGGTCAGTTGGCACCAAACTCATCTGGGAGGATAAAGCACTCTTTCATGGCCACTGCAGTTACGAATGGAAGTCGTGTGTCGTGAGTTGGTCGCCTCTCAAAATGCGCGGTTGATTAACGCCAAATGACTTTATTACTTCGGCGGGTAAAGTGGTAGAAAGAAGTAGTTTTGGAATGCAAATGAAATGAGTCGAAGGTCATCCTCGTCGTCATTCCAGCCGTTATTGAATTATTTAAATACCTGAATATACTGTTGAAATTACCTCCCATAAGGAGAGGCAGTGAAAAACTCTCATTGTCTGGTAGGAGCCTGGGTGTGCTTTTTCACATCATTGCAGCGAACATAAAAGGTATACCGGTTAGACCGAATGGCCGTTTCGTAGCTATTCAGCAGTGAAATGTTCCCTTGTGCACAGCGCGGCGAACGTTTGCGGAGAATTTTAATGTTGTCATTTGAGAATCTCTCTTTTCTATAGATAAGCCGTTCATTTATAGCTCTTAGCTCGAGATCCATTAAGCCGAAAGCATTCGTTGCAAATATGTATTTGGAGAGATTCCTTCTGAGCCCGGGAGCCACCTCTTCTTTCCTTTTTTCCTTTTTCTGTTTACAAGGATTTCAAATTCATATTCGTTTGTGAGGCTTTGAAGAGAATCGTACCGCTTGATTCCACTGACTTTTCGATCTTGACCTCTTCGTCAAACTGTGAAAGCCAAAGGTGCTCGAGATTCATCCCTAACTAACAATACCATAACAAATTTATATTTACAAGGCCAGGAAATAGATGGAAATAGATATAAACCCAGAAATAAATGTTGTGATACTTCCGTCTCCGGCCTATTCACGGTCAAACAGAATATTCGAAGGCTTTTGAACGGGGTGAATCTCGGTAGCATCGGTAAGCAGGTTTTGACGAAGGCTGTAAGGCTGAGCGGTCAACCGAATAAAGCTGCACAAGGCTTGGTGAAGGCTTTAGATGTGGTCGGCCGATTGTCATATCATGAAATGACCAAATACGTTATGCGCATGTGAATGAACAGTGTCTATTCATAGACTAGGCGGCCATGATGTTTTAAGTAGTATCCTCGGGCGCGAGAACAGAATTGATGAACAACAGAAAAACAGCTTTATTACTGCATACTTTTTTGCCAAGATTTACCAAAAAACGTGCGATTTTTTGCAAATTCGTTGAATATGAAGTTCTAATGCGGTTTCAGACGGAATGTTAGATAAAATGAAGAGGAAAATCAAGATGGTTGGTGGCAAACACAAGCAGGCTGAGGATACGATGTCAGTGACAAGTGGAGTAAGCAGTGCCAGTATGACAAGCTCGCGCAGCACTCGTTTTATGAGCCGTCTCAACAGAACGATCAGCAAAAAGTAAGTTATTAGCAGGATGAATTATATGTCCATTTTTCTTGGTTTTGTAGTCAAACTGCTGACTTCCAGACTATCGTCACTTCAAGACGGGCATACGATATTCTCACAAAACGATGCAAACTCATCGTTGGAATCGAATGGGCATTTGGCTCCTCCAGTCCCGAACGGCAACGCTGTTGTCTACCGTGAGGGAAAGTGAGTTTCGAAGGTTTCGAGAGAGTTGAGCACTGCCTCCCCTTTCAGGGAGAATTGAAGATTTTAAAAGTGATTTTGGTGTGGTACACCTCTTTCCCACGGATTTAGGAGGTTTTCGGGTAGGGAGAACGGGCTATCACATGCTTACTACGTACTGCTTTTTTGAGTTCATTGTGACCCTCAAATGAGCTCGCTCGAAGCGCAACTCTTACAGAAGCGTTTCTGGACTGATAGGCATCGCCAATACGGTACCTCCTGGTATAGCTCAACATATGCCATCGCAGTCGGCGCACCAAAACTAAGTCGGCTGATCGTGTCAAGACCTCCAATCTTCAACGAGATCGTCATGCGATGAACCGACTCTTTTTCTTCTGTCAAAGGCGGCGGCATGTGTTGGTCTATGTCTAGTATGCTCATCATCCAGGGTAGACTGTTAGGCCCCGTTTGGTAGTAGCCTGGGTTTCTTAGGTCATCTTGTGTGCATCCCTTGCCGTCACTGCTGTCGTTTCGAAAGCACTGTTTCAAAAGGCTGAATAGTTGTAGATTGCGCTCAAGTCCCCACCTACGCTCGAAACTATGGGGATTTTTTGTGGGATAAACGATTATGGCCTACCCTGTGAATGTAGCTTCAGCTCCGCCGGCATTAAGCCCTTTGTGTAAAAACGGCTGTAACTCTGTTATGGGGCATCACCGTCGTGACCAATGCACCATTACTTTGGAGGACTTGAGTTGCACATTTTATGAATACCCAGTTATACCTAGAGAAATGAAGAAAGGTGAAAGTGTAATAGTACAATGAGGCAGTACCTGGGCCAAATGTTGTAGGCTGAGGAATTTACCCGGAGCCCCTAGATCCGATGGTTACCTTTCGATCAGTTGCTTTGGAGTTATGAACGATTGCGTCAAAGAAACTGAGCGGGGAAAGTAAATAGGATGCCCAATAGGGGACTTGAGCTCCCATTATAAAACTCCATGTGTGAGTTGGTTGCTGAACTCCCCACCAGGTAAACTAACTCACAAGATGGCGTTTTCAACTTCAACGGCACCCATACCATAAAATACCCTGAAATGAGACCTTGGACAAATACCTCTGTACTTATTTCTGAATTTATAGGCAGAGCAACGTCTCACGTCCGTCGTCCACAATAAGCGGTATCGATTTCAACGAAGATCCATCCTATACGCAATCAAATCGGCTGTCAACCCCGATCTCCAATGGGGGCCAGTTCACCCAGAACGTTGGCGGCTCGCCTACGGTATGTACAGTGAACGAACTTTGAGCATGTACTTCTTCTAACCCATTTCAAGTGTGTGTTGAGTGCTGTGTGTATTCCTGTGATTCCGTTGCTTCCTCCTCAGCGGCTGGGCCTTAGGCTTCCTTGCCTTCCCGTGATTCCTTGCTTGCTTTTGTTGTTTCGTTTGCATTATCGTTGTGATCGCTTCCAGGCGTCGACAGCTGAATCATTTCATCGAGCAAACAGCATTAGAAGTGTAGCGTCTTCTGGTTTTGGAGGATCAAACAAACCAGCGGTATGTATGATCTTCGAGATCAAGTGGATTTCAGTTTTGTGTTTGACATTTCTTTACTCAGGAGTAAGCGTTTGATTAGCTATCTGTAGTCGCTGACTTTCTTATCACTTTTCTATTGTAATATGGGGCTGTAATGATTTCGGGTGGTGCTTAGGATTCAACACTTGGGTAATGAGAGGACATGCTGGTACTATCGCTTTCTATAAGACCTGTTGCACCATTTTATCCCACAGGGCGCATTTTCGGGTAGGGAGAGGGGGAAGACGGAGGAAATAAAGTTTGAAGTTCTGAATCTGTGGGATAAGCTGTAGCGAAACAGAGCGGATTTTGACACTTTCTTTGGTCTAACCCTTTTGGTATATTTTCTAATGGCCTATAATATGTATTTTCTCAAGCCGATAGTCATTGAATTAGTGGGTTTTTCTCTTTTTAAGTATAAGGGATACGGTCAAAATGCACCATTACTGTCAGGTGGTCGGAACTATATCGCGAAGGGCTCAGTGTTATAAATGATTCCAACCTGTTAAATATGATAGTTCCCGGCATGATTAGTTGAAGTTTCTGTGCGCCGGACAACCTAGTTTCTATCACCATGGCGCATCCTGATTCATAGTGGCGAACACGAGCAGCTGCTCAATAAAGCTGAGCTGAGCCACTTCATCTACCTTTGCCTTACCATCTGCCAATCGTAAATGTTCCCTTTTCTCCTCTCATCGGATCTATCGTAGATTACCTAAATAGGGAATTTCCATTCATGAATCGTGCCGAAGTGCATGACTGTGTGGCTTGCAATAGCTGAGCTTTCACGGTATTGTAGACTAGGGAAATCTTATCAACGAATTCCAAGAAAAAAAAAGAAAACAGGGGTCAAAGCTATTAGCAGAAGGCGGACCTTTCCCAGGAGTTTTTTGATCATTTGAAGATGAATGAGTTTCTTGAAAATTTGGCTTGAAATAGATTAATCATGTGGTTGTGGTCTTCCATGAACGAAAATGGTCCGTGAAATGATTGTGTTTGTATGTCGTGCGTTTTTCTTGGCGCTTTTCCATGATGCAGTTCCTCCTTCCCTTTTATTTCCTTCTATTTGAAGCTTCTCCTTCCTTTTAATTTTTTTGGTTTCTTATGAATTTTACTTGCATGCAACGTTCCATTGTTCAGAAACAAAGAAACGACGATTTGGCGTATTCACAGCAAGATTTGCTGGCCCTTGTGGACAGTTTACGTCTTGAGCTACGTGTCAAAGATTCACGTTTGCGTGATATGGAAGAGTACATGGATAATCTGGTTGGTTCATTTGATTGTTTACCTTTGTATTTACAAATAAGCTTAGTATTCCATCTTTCTGTTATATCGGATTGTCCGGAAAAAAGATCTGATGAGGTTTTTTTGGAAATCGTGAAGTTTTCATGGGTTTGCTAAATGAGGACCCTAGCCACTCCTATGTGTATGTAACATCAGGCCATCAGGCTCCCTCTTCCTTGCGCATTCAACCCCGTATGGACCGAACTGTCTCCCCACAGTCGGCCCCTACTCTCTACAAGTTGGGATCTCTGCTGCTGAAACCCGTCGAAACAAGGGTCAAGGGTTCGGTCTTGACGCCTCTTCTAAGTGGAGCTGTGCACGCCTCGTTCCAAGCTTCAAGCCGAAAACGAGAAGAGCCTCGACTTGGTCGCCCAGCTGTGATCATGAAGTCTCTGGATATGCGTATGCAGATGAACAGTGTCTTTATAGAATTCCCACAAGAACTCCCGGAGCAGTCGGAGCAGCTGATATGAAATGTCCAGCACAAACTTCTCGAGTATCCTGATATTATATCCTGATACGCTTTTGGTTGAAGCTAATGGGATCTTTTTGCGCAATCCCTTCTTTTGCGGTCCCCATACGCCATTGACTTTCATTGGATTCAGGGTGGCGTATGAATGCTCATATTGTCAATGGTCAATGACCCATTTGGGTTTAATGCCAACTTCACTCGTTAAATGTGATGCAAGATTGTTTTGCCAGAGCGAGTTTTGATTGGGAATTGGTACAGCCCACTGTAGTGGCAGTGCCTTTTTATTTAAGTCTAGGTCCGGGAGGTTGGATAGGGGATGGGGGTTGCTTTGAAGCAGGCGAGTGATGGGAAACCAGTCATTACATCAAAGCTTGATACCCTGTTTTCCATATACACGGTTATTAATTCGGTGAATCAACTCGGGAACTGGGATAATCAATGAATCTGTTTGGTTACCGTCTCACAGGTGTCCTTTAACGGTAGCTGAGCTAATAAAATACTTTCACAGCTGGTCCTCTTTCTACTGTTTTTTACACTACTCTTTTTATTAGTTTGGGAAAATATCTTTTTCTGCTTCATAACAAACCGCTAAGGTTCCGTTTTCTTGCACATTCACAGGAGTATTTCCCAACAAAGAATTTCCGGGCATGAAATTCGCATTCTAATGCGATCTTCAGAGGCCAAGTTGATTTAGTGGTGTAGACACTCATGGTCCGTGGGTTGGAACCTGGATCGGTATCGGTGTCGATATCCGCCACTGCAACGAGCCTTCAATCCTACCAGGGTCGATCGATATGGTACCAGGCCCGTCTAGGAGGATAGAAGCGCTGATTCAGCATGAGCTGACCCACGCAAGGCCCCCGAAAGGATTGAGTTTTGGGGCGTTAATCAATTCCGTCTTAGAGGTGGCCCACGTTTTGACTCCCAGCCAGAATCGTAGAGGCATAGTGCAAGCGTATGTGGACTATACTTTATGTTGACTTTCGGTTACAAGCCGATGTGAAGTCAGTGCTCTTATCCCCCCAAGCGAGTAGTACCAACTAAACCGACACCGGAGGGAAGTAAGGCTTGGTTGGCTCAGGCGGATATCGATCCAGGATTCGAACCCGTGGCCGTGCGTGTGAGATAGTGCACCACTTGCCCCTACACCACCTCTGACCAAGAGGTCGTATGAACCTTACAAATTCAATCAGCCACTAGATCCTGAATAAAAGTTGAATGCGTAGGCACATCCCGTAAACGGGATTGATTAATGCCAGAAAATTGAATTTTCACTTTTATGCGATGTTTATGAGGCATGATTGATCTGTAATTGCGTAATGGTAGCTGAGCTTGCTTTTTTGGGAATTCATTGATCAGATTGAAGGTCCGGCTTCCAGACTATTAATGTTGCAGATTTCACGAGTAATGGAGCGAAATCCAGAACTTCTGGCTGCGCCCTTGGCTCCGGACAAGCCAAAACGTCGTTATTTCTAAAGTGACCTTGTGTGATGCCGGTTTGTATGAGTTTTTCCCTTACTCGTTTCTAGTCGTTACACATCCCCATTTATAGGAATATTCGTCAGTGCATTTTTTCAGTTAGTCGGTGGTCGTTCGAAAAGTCGTATATTGGTTTTTCGTTTTTCTTTGTACCAACCCACCTCAGCCTCATGAATTTTACTGGTACTGCCACCACTGAGCGTATTGCTTTGATGTTTTATGTCACTGCTTCGCTCTACTTCCAGTCCCATAGTAGTAGTAGTATGTAAGTTATGAGTAATATAATCCATTGCTTGAATGGGTATGAAGGTAGGGCTCTAACGCTTAGGTTAACCTTAAACACAGTCGGGAATTGCCCCCACTTTACCTTGGATATACCGGAACAATCCTGCTGTTAGGAAAGTTTAAGGGACTTGTGTAACAGATCGATAAATCGATTGGATTCAGCCGAAGGACTTTTAGAGCCCACCGAAGTTCCTGTTAATCCCACGAATTCTGAACCCATGAATGGTATACAGCCCACGTTCCCTGTCTAGTACGGTTTGGGCCCTTACAGACACTCCAATCGATAATTCCAATCGATAAGGAAAATTGAAAACTGATATTGCACTATTCGAACGACCCCATATTTCGTTGAGCTTGTAAATGGCTTTGCTTTGAGGGTCTACTTTGAACAGATCCTTCCGCTAGACTTGATTAGATCGTTCTCTTACAGCACCGGTATAGGCTGAATGCTTTTCATTGTTAGCCGCACATGTATGTAGCCTTTATTCCTCCGTTCATCCGTTCCTCCATTCATCGAGTGCTTACAGTTTGCCCGGTCCCGTTGAAGCTCTAATACATCGAAAATAAGTGTGTTTGCTCAACGTTCTACGGCCTTATGATATTGAACGTTCTGTGATTGGCAGCATGTTTACCGCGATACAAATAGTTTTGTTGAATCTCCTGAATAAGTATTTTACTAAACTGTTGAAATCCTTAATCATATGCAATTCTTGTATAAATTTGTGATAAAGTTTCTAGTTTTGGTGGTTCATCATCTCATGGGCGGAAGCCTCCCGGTGTTCCCTGAAATGGGATCATTTCATGGGCAGAAAACCCTTCAGTTGGTAGGTCAGGGTAAGCACGAGCGTTTCCATTAAGAGTCTACCATTGTCGCTTTTGAGGTAGAAAATAGTTACATACAGAATACGCGAAAGGGCAAAGCATTGATCAAAGCCTTAAGTATGCGCCATGCACTTGCCAGCCATGCAGAATTGGGATATCCCTTCAGAATTGTACCGTACTTCGTGAGGTTACAGTATGCTTGAATTTCGAAATTTTTTTAATGCTGGCCTCTTCGTACTCGTTGAGCTTCCTGTATTTAATAATCGAGCTAAAAAAACAAAGGATACTGTGGAAATTCTATTTTGAAGGAGTTCGTTACCTCTTGCTTCATTTAGCTAGTCAGGATGCGCCATCGCCTCGATTAAAGTAGGTCAATTCGCCAGTGGCAGCGTTGGCTATTTGTGTCCGAGTGTTTCATCTGAACAGTTCAAAGATGAAGTGTTTCGAATCCGTAATCGAAGCCGCTGAGCGATAACCTACTTTGGAGGAAGTGATGGTACATCCTGACCCATACCCTGTAACCTGTATCTTTTGTAAAGATTACCGCCTAGGATAATTCACGAACTGTACATGTCACATTATTCAAAGAACGGGGCTTCTCATCTGTGTGACTGGTTTTCTTTCGGGTTTAATTCATCTTGGAAAATGACATTGTAAAGGGATAATTGCGATGTTTTGTTAAATAATGCTTTTCAATTTCGATTACAGTGAAAGTCTTTGTTTGTTGCCCGAAAACAGGACTAGCTCAATGCGTTTGATTGTATATCCATGCAAACTAGTCATAAGTTCAATCGGTCGGGGCAAACTGTGCCATTTCATGCAGGAAGGTACAAAAACACTACCGGTATCAAGGTAAGGGTTAGGGTGGAAGACCGGTGTCTAGAGAATGATGTTACA